AAGAGGCATCGAAGTCTGTTCGCAGTTTAGGGTTTGGGGTTTAGGGATCCCAACCCTTAATATAGGGGCCTTAATACGTAGAATAGGGGTTCTGGGGTAGATAAAGGTATAATTAACAATCCCCCTATGTCAACCTCAAACCTTGCTTGGAGGATCATGGGACTTAGTAAGTAAGGTTATAAGCCCCTTAACTGGCGGTAATAAGTGACTATAAGTACCGTTACGTAATTATAACCCTACTTACTATGTCCCATGATCCTTTAAGTAAACTCTCGAGATCCTGCCTGCGGCAGCAGGTGTAGGTGTTTGAGGCGCACCATGAGCGCCAAACAGTGACATCCTGGTCGATGGTTTAGCGCTCAGGGCTTGGGGCCTTTAGGATTTGGGTAGTTCTCTAAACTAGGGTCCTCTTTTAGGTCCCCAATATAGTACGGCACCCTTATAAAAAGGACCCTAAAAGGGACCCTAATTTAGAAAACTACCCATTTACGGTTCTGGGCTTAAGCCTGGGCTGTGGAGTCTGGGGTGTAAGGGTTTCGGAGTTGAAGGTTAGGACTCAGGGACCGGCAGGCGGCTTTATAAGTGACGCTATGAACAGGAGAACCCGTAAGATGTGTACTGCAAGAACCCCCCCAGCTTTACCTTGCTCACTATGTCGCGAACCTTGTCCGAGAGATGGTGAATAAGGAATTAGGGCTCTGGCGCAGGAAGGTTTGCATGAGTGCGAGCGCACACCTAAACCCCTAAACCAACCCTGACACCAAACCCTAAACCATAGTATCGTAAGACTAGCTATTTCAAAAGGAAGAACCCCCGGCCCACCCTTTAGGACCCGCCATTTTGGCTCTTGGGCTTCAACTTCACAGCGTAATGTAGGGGCCTTCATAATTAGAATAGGGTCCTGGGGGTTCCTTAATATAGTTATAGTATAATGGACCCACACGGGTCTTTTTTGGAGTCTAGGGGTTCGATTTTGATCCTTCGGAGCTACAGGCCTGGAGAGGGGTCTCCTGTTGAGGGTTCGTACAGGTTTCCGAGTTTAGGGTTTAGGGTTTTGGGTTTTTGGGTTTACGGTTCAGGGTTTAGGGTTTAGGGTTCAGGGTTTAGGGTTTAGGGTTCAGGGTTTGGGGTTTAGGGTTTAGGGCTCCTTTAAGGGCTTAGGGTGGTGGTTCAGAGTGTAGCACACTTGGGGTTGGGCGGAGGCTTTTTCAAGGCCCTGCTTCGTTCTGGTGGGTTTTGGGGGTTTAGGGGTTTAGGTTTTTGAGGGTTGAGGGGTTAGGGTTTAGGGCTTTGGGGGGTTTAGGGTTTTGGGCTTTGGGGGGTTTAGGGTTTAGGGTTTTGGGCTTTGGGGGTTTAGGGTTTGGGGCTTTGGGGGTTTAGGGTTTAGGGCCTTGGGGGTTTAGGGTTTGGGGTTTGGGGTTTTGGGGTTTGGGGGTTAACATGGTGTAACTCAGGATTCTGTAGCTTTACAGCTCCGCGCGTAAAGTCGTACGGTTTCGGGGTTTGGGGTTTAGGGTTTAGGGTCAGGTTGAAGGGTGCGGATCCGGGCCCTCACATAGCATAGAACGCCGCCAGATTTCTGGCCTACGCAGGCCATAATCAGGGCTAGAATCAGAAGTACCCTGTGTCCAGTCTAACCCTACGGTTTTAAGCTATAAAAGTCCATCATGTGCGTAGGGCACATGTGATTGATCAAATGCGCAATTGCAGCAGGAATTTCACCGACTGTCCGTCCATCTCGTGTTGTTACAGCAGGAGATAGCACGTTCAGGGAAGCCGGCATGGACCAGTACATTGTTTCGACCAAGGGAATTCGAGGCAGCAACCATGGCTCCAGTGGTCCTTACTATACAGTGGCGGGCAAGGTCTGCGACTGCAATGGCAGCTGCCAGCCTTGCTCGCATCTGTAGAATTCGACATGCCCGTGATCCTTTAAACCCTAAACCCTAAACCCTAAATCCCCAAATCCTAAAGCTTTTACAGTCAGCCGGCCTAAACCCTATATAAGCGCCAAACCCCCAAGTTGCACGGAAAGCCAGAATCTGCCCGGATGAGGACAGACATCGTCCACAAAGCGGTTTAAAGTTCAGGGTTCAATACAACCCTTGCACCACTATGAAACCGTAAACCCCCTGCAAACCATTATACCAAGCCTAAAACAGGATAGGCAGTATAGGCTCTACGACATGCCTCTATCTACGAAAGGCCAAGAAAGCTGAGCCCCCCCACCCCCCCCCACCCCCCGGTTCTGCGTCTGCCAGCCTCTTCTCTGTAGCATCGTCTCCTCCTTGCCCAAAGAAGCAACGGCCGGGGTTTAGGGTTTAGGGTTTAGGGATTTTGTGGTCTCTGTACTTGTCCAGTATCCTAGTTGGCCTTTGGGACTACAGAGGGTTCATAGTCCCCCCAAAAAGCTACCTACTCTACTGCTAAATTTAGGATTCGGGGGTCTGTTTTAGGTGTTAGAGGTGCTTAGGGCTCTCTGGAGCTAGGTGGCTGCAGGGTTTGTACAGGAGATAAGGGTTCAGGGTTTAGGCTTCTTGGTTCTTTTGTTCTGCGGTTGGCGGTTCAAGGCTCGGTGCTCAGGGTTTCGGACTTTCGGACTTTGTAAATCCGGCAATGAGGCATGCCTTCTTCGGGGTCCGGTAAGGATCCGGATATATCCTACAAAATTCATTGGATCGCGATTTCCATGGAAACTAGTTGCTTGGTTCGGAAACCCGAGGCACGTGAATTCCATGCCACAAGAAATGCGCGCGTACTATGGTCGCGGCAGTTAACAGGGCGAAGCTGCCCAAGAAACAAGGCAAGCAATGATGGTGCGTAGTGGTATATGATGATCCCAACACACCCTGCTAATTGTAAGAGTAACACTGAATATTGTGGTCATGACGGTTACTACAAAAGTAGCAACTGAACAAGCGAGAACACAGAAATGCTGCAAAGGATCGGTCGACTGCTGCAGAACGGGATCTGGTAAACGTTGCACCCTGAACTTCAACCCGACCCCCGACCCTACCTATAGTCTCCATTGTAGTTCCTGTTTTTGGTTTATCCAAATATATAATAAGGGTTTTGTAAGGTATCCCCCAAAAAGGAACTACGATGGAGACTATAGGGAAGCCATAAGCACAGCCTGTCTTTTGGTGGTCTCTCACTTGCTGTGCTTCTAAAGGGGCGACGAGGCCCGTAACCTGACTGTACAAAGGTCGGCAGACATAGTAAAGAGGCCTTAGTAACTAGAATAGGGCGTTGGGGATACTAGACTATACCCATAGGCCCTAAAGTAGTTCCTCTTTGGGGTTCATATATAGAATCCTACAAGGTAACCCCAAAAGGAACTACTGTGGGGCCTATGGGTAATTACAGCAAGGAATCCTAAAGAATGGAATTACTAACTACTCAGGCCCAAATCTTCAAGGAGGGCGCAGCTTGCGCCGCCTGGCTGCACATGGGTGCGCGCAAAGCTGACCCACCAAACAAAACTTGAAGGAATGAAAAGTTTAGGGTCTAGGGCTTAGGGTTTCGAGTTCAGGATTTAGGGAACTTAGGATATGGTAAACTGGGCTGATCACACTTCCTTCCCCTGGGACCAGCTTAGGCCGTCGGAAAGACGTCATGCTGGAGAACGTCTACAGCTGGAGGCTGAAACTGCAATTTCGACTGAATGTCGATCATGTCGTCAACGGTTAGCTGTTCCTTCATGAAGTCGAACTTGCTTTCGGCTAGGCGACCGCTGTCAGCACAAGCTCGGTACAGGCTCTCGAGGTCATCGATGGCCGCCGCGACGTCCTGTGGTGTTGGCACACCCCCTTTGACGGCATTGTATATGACAACCGTGACGGTCACATGCTCGGAAGCGTTTCGCTTGGGCGATTTGATGGACAATCCTTTCCAGACGTCGTGCTCCGTGCCACGCGAGACCCTCGCAGCGCTGCTTTGGCCTGTTGGCACGGCGCAGCGGGGCGCTGCTGAGCGTAGGTTCAGACACATCAGCGAAGCTTTGCAAGCTCCCGATGCCGCGCCATACGATGACATGGAGGTGGTGCAAGCCAACACAGGAAAAGCTCCCCCTCCCCGCATGGGCGTGGGTGCCCGCTGCTGCAGTGGGACCTGGATGGTCATCAGCACGTTGAAGCGTTGGCCCATGGCACGGATGCCGATGACGCTCGAGGTCGCCTTGCCGCGAGCCAAGGCTTCTACCCGCTCCTGGTCCGTCTCTCGCTGCTCGCCGCCCACTTGATGGCGGCTCTCCTCGGCTTCCAGCCAGTAGCGGTGGATCTTGCCATCGCCATCAACCGCATGGTGAAAGAGCTTCTTCGCACCCTGCCCGTCCTGCTGGACGGCCATGCCCTGGCTAGTGCACAGCAACACGAGATTGCGCGGATCGGTATCGCTCATGGTGTTGTAGTTGTAGGCCTCCGTCGCAAACTCGAGCTTCCCCCGGCCATCGGAGGAGTTTTCCACCGGAATGAATGTGGTCTGAAAGCGGATGGAGCACTGTGCATCCAAGGTGGAATTCGAGACGTCGGTCTGCCCCTCGAGGCCAGCATAGCTGCCGTAAGCGCCCATCTGCTGCAGCACGGTCCGGAGCGTGACTGGCTGCGGTGCTCCACCTGTGCGGGATGCCACGACTGCCACCTCATCAGCAGAGACGACGCCCAGTTTCTCATTCCAGTTGTCACTGCGCACCGTGAAGAGCTGGGTCCCACTCTTGCTCTTGAGGTATGTGTCCGTGATGTTTGCCCCCCAGCAAGATAACGAGCCACCAACTGTCCCACGACTCACATCATCCCAAGAGACCACCTTGCAACTGTAGGTTGCGTAATGGCCGCCTTTGGATCGGCAAGCATCGTTGATGGCCTTCATGGTTGCACTCACGGAAGCCATGGCGAGAGGAGTGAGGCCGGAAGAGCGAACACCTTTGATCTGATAGCTTTCAATGGCTTCAGAAATCCATCCCAGGGCTTCTCTGACGTGTCGGATCAGAGCGAAACTCACCCAGACCCAACTCTGTGGGACGGAAGCCCACAAAAAAGTCCATGGCTGATTAGTTTGGAGTTTACGGTTTTGGGGTCGAGGGCTTAGGGTTTTAGAGTACCCCTCACGAAGCCCAACGTCACCGTGTCCTTGTGCAGCAGCATCGACTGCACAGGGGGCAAAATGGCTCTAAGACCCAACGCTTCAGCACTACTTCTAGGCTGTTCTCGGTTAGTGGGTTAGTGGGACAGAAGAAGTTGAAATTTAACAGCCACACCCTCGACTCCACAAAAACCAGTTAAAGCACGAAACCTTAAGCCGTAAACCCATTGAAAGCCAAGCGCCTCAGCGCCAAACCCTAAGCGCTAAACCCAGGAGTCAGTGCAGGGGCGGCTGTGGAGCTTGGGACGCTGCGGGTGTGTGGGTTCAGCTGAAGGCATCACCACCAAGGGCTTCGGTATTGTACTGGTGCCTAATATGGGGGCTTACAAGTGCAAAGGGGTATACTTGGAAAGCGAGTAGACTCTCCAAAACTTATGTTCAGGAGATATTTGAACTGGTATCACGATTTTTGTTGCTCAGGCCTCCATGTTCTATTGTGCACTCTTGTTCTTGTGGAAACCCCCTCTTTTCGACCTCGTCTGTTATCTGCACTTTAAGCCTTAGGGTTCGCAGATTTCTGGCAGGGAGGCTGAGGGCTTTACAAAGAATTCAACATCAGATGCTCGTGTCCCCAAGCATTTGACACCAGCTAGCGTGGTCCGCGGCCGACTTGCTAGGGAATGCCCTGCAAGACCATAGGTGCGAACACAACACAATAGAAGCCGATGCCGAATATTTCGGTGTAAGGCTCAGGATTTCGATGCCTGTTGCATCTTCGGTCTTTCGGCCTACGGTTGTTTTACCTTCAGCTCTTGATTGTGTGCAGATCTTGCCCTAGGCTCGACACTGCTTACGTATATAAGTGGGGGATAGAGTAGTTAGTTGCTTCTTGCATAGTATAAGGGCCTTCACAACCATATAGAACAGTGACAGGGTGCTGAGGGGATACCTTAGATTTGAGCAAGATGAAAAGCAGGGTATGAGTAAGAGGAAGGAGTTCCGACCCCTATATCAGAAGCTTCCTTTCGATCTGCCCTGGTCCCCGAAGTTCGCATACAGAGATCTTTCCCCACTTATTCTGTCTAAACCCTAAACCCTAAACCCTAAACCCAATGGCCAACCCACTTCAGCACTTGGGGATCAGGTTTCGAGATGATCGGCATCGGCTTCGCCCTAGTCGCCCCAGTCCGACACCTTCCACCCAAACCCTGCACCCCCGAATGCAAACTAGGAGCTCGAAGAAGGGGTTTAGGGTTTAGGGTTTAGGGTTTAGGGAAGCACCTGCGCATAAACGGTTTCAGCTAATATCCGTAGAGAGGGAGTAGGTTTCAATAGCTTCAGTTCAGATCCTATTCTGGCCCTACACCCTAAACCCTAAACCCCTAAACCCTAAACCCTAAACCCTAAACCCTAAACCCTAAACCCTATTCTGGCCCTAAACCCTAAGCCCAAACTCCCGAACCCTGAACCCGAACCCAAGCCACCTGCACCACCATATCCATCAGCAACGAGACGTCACTCGCGTTGAGCACATCCGCCTTTAGACTCCAAGGGGTGGGAAGAAAAGAGGTAGGTTAGGGTACAGGGTCTAGGGTTGAGGGTGAAAGGTTTTTTTTTTTTTATGTTGAGGGTGCTAGGCACTAGGATGGCTACTGGAACATCTGTAATTTCTATGAAAATAACAGCACATAGACCTTGGAGTTTTGCACCCTGACGGCTTTGGGGTTTAGATCACCTACAGACCCCCTAAGCCCTACTCAGTTCGCGCCTCCACTCGCTGATGCTGAAGAAGCCACGCACCTCGGGACAGTGACCCGAAACCCTATACCCCGAAGCACCGATGTCAGGGCCTAAATAATCAGAATAGGGTTTTGGGGTCCTTGATAGTATAATTATAGTAAGGAACCTGCAAAGTAGTATAAGTAATTATTGGGGCCCCTACAGCACCAACAAGGGGTTCCGTATTATAAGTATAGTATAAGAGGCCCCAAATAAAGAATAGCATGAAAAAAAATATCTCGGCTTCTGTAGTAGGAGATTCCTGGGGATGGAGGACCCTAAGCAAATCCCCCATAGGGGTTTCCGAAAATAGGGGACCCTAATATAGTACCCTAAACAATAGGATCCCTATTATAAGGACCCCAACATAAGGTACCCTTATTTTCTGAAACTCCCAAATAGCACATAGGATTTCAATATGAGGCCCTTACACCCAATTTCCGAGACGCCCACGACTTGTCAGTTATCATTTCCCGAAGGCTTCAATGCAAACCCCTAAACTGTAGGGTTAGGAATGAAGGTTTAGGATTTAGGGATTCTGCCCCTGAGTATGGCACCCGATACATCGTCGTCGAGGATGTCGATGATGGTGCAGAAGCAAGCATCGACGGCAACCGCGCTTTGGGAGTGCGTGCGCAGCTCCTGAAGCATCCGACTTGAGATGCATGTGACTTAAGACATCGGCCTCGGCATGGTTTCCGAGTGTATCTCAAAAGCAGATGTGAGTGTCGAAAGCCTGGCAAGATGAACCTCTGTAAGCTGCTGCATCTCTCATTCCGCACCCTCCGTCTCCTCTTACCATTCCGAGCAGCAATGCTGCAACTACAGGAAAACAAGACTGAGAGGGCAATGACAATGCAAGACCGCAGTCTGAGACTGGGTTCTAGTTTTGAGGGCCCTGAAGGGTATTTATGAATGGGTACCTCTATAGTGGACACCATAAGGGAATTCTTCAAGTTTCCCAAAGTGCCACCTGGTAGAAGACAGTTCGGGTTGAAAACGAGACCGGTAGTTTTCGGCAGATGGGTGAAAAAAGTCACAGAGATGAACGCAAAGTAAACTGGTTGCTTCTGCGCAGGGCTTCAGGGTTAAGGGTTCAGGGTTAGGGTTTGGGGTTTAGGACTATGCGTGAGCTCCTGGACATATCACTGCTAATCCCAACACCTACCAGATACCCAAAGCCTTGCCTGAACGACGTAAGGCAAACCTACCATAGAGGCGGCGCACCAGGTTGCATACCTGACTATTGCATGCTTATAAGGTTTTAAAGGGCTCGGTTCGTTTAGGATGTTTACAGGACTCTTACAACGTTTGTGGGCCCGCTCAACAAACATCTTAACTTGCAGTGGTATGGGCAGTTCTCGAAATCCAGGTCCCTTTTTGTCGCCAAAATAATATGGCACCCTTACTAAAACGACCTTAAAAAGGGACCCTCATTCAGAGAACTGCCCATCTGCCTTATACGCGGCAGATTGCACTTCTAAAGGAACTTGGAGCCTGGAGCTGCAAGTTAACTGTGGAGTCTCCAGCGATCCTGAAAACCCTGAGCCCTTCAAGTACCGATGATTATTTAAGGGGTTTAGGGTTTAGGGCTTAGGGGCCCTTAAAGTACCGACTATGATTTAAGGGGCCTAGGGTTTTGCGGTTTAGGGTTTAGGGTGTGAAGTTCTTATGTGGAGAAGGTCAAAGATGCTCTTCAAGGAGGCTACTCTTCAAAACAGGACAGGACACAGAGGGCCGGGTGTTGACTTGCCGCAAATGACACGTAGGTACTAGTGATGACTCGATGAGAGACTGAAGTGCTTGTGCAATGATCTTACAGAACGGCTCTATATGGAAGGGTTTAGGGTTCTGGGTAACAATGAAGTTGCAGCCTTCAGCGAATGAAACTAGACACTACATCCCCAAGTCTCCTGCATGCACCGAACAACATGGAGCCTCATGTCAACACCTGATGTAAAATCGATGTCAGATCCTAAGAAGCCCACCCCAAACCGACTAACTTTGAACAATCCGCAAACCCTTCCAGTTCAAGCAGAAACAACAAGACAATCACACACTTTTTGAAGTAATAAACCCTAAAACCCTAAACCATAAACCCTAAACCCTAAAACCCTAAACCCTAAAACCCTAAACCCTAAACCCTAAACCGTAACTGTACAACGTAAACCCCAAACCCGAGAGGGCACTTCATGGCCCGCGGGTTGTGCAAGAACTCTGGCATCCTGCTTGGGCGAAGCTCGATCTTCGATAGCCGGCAGTCTTGGAAGCTTAGGGTATTGTTTATTTTTTAGGGTTTAAAGGTTTAGGGTTTAAGTTTTAGCCTTTGGGGTTCAGGGTCGGATTTAGGATTTGATCTCAGGGTTCAGGGTTTGGAGCTTTGGGTCTGGGGTTTCGGGCTTGGGGTTTACCGTTGAAGGCTTCGGATCTGAGGGGGCCCAAGATATGTTCCTTAACGAAAAGGGATGCGGAGTCTCAGGGAGGATTATCTGAGCTTGCCTGTGTAAGATTGAAGGCTTAAGTTTGGGTTGTTTAGGGTTTAGAGTTTCTGGAGGCTTGCATACTAGTTTGCTGGCTTTCTCAAGGGCTGTTTCGCGGGTTTGGAGGGTCGTTTGTCAAGGCTCAAGGCCAGCAAAGGTGGCTTCAGCGAACCCTAAACCCTAAACCCCAAGCTCTCAGCCCTAAGCTCTAAAACCCTAAACCCCTAAACCCAAAAACCCCTAAACCCCTAAACCCTAAGCCCTAAACCCCTAAACCCCTAAACCCCTAAACCCTTAGCCCGAAATCCGTGGAGTCTTTGACAAGGAGGGCATTTTGGACCTTCAGATAACAAGGCTTCGACCTGTGAGTCGCCAGCATTGAGGGCTCAGGTGTTGGGTTGTGGGTTCAAGCCTTCGGGTTTGGGGTTTATAGTAGGATTTAGGCTTTAGGATTTGCATTGGGGGCTTTAACTGGAAAGCTAGAATGTGGCAGTGACCTCAAAGCTAGAAAAAACTCTTGGCGTTTCGGAATCAAGTCTGCGTTTATAAAATGTGCGTGGATTGAGGCCTTCGTTTTCGCCTTGTAGGTCGTAGGTGGCCACGCGTTCTCCAACAGTTACTAGGCTTTGGGGTTTAGGGATTATATTCGGTTTAGGCTTTGGAGTTTAGACATAGGGCCCCATGCGACTTACGTTTGGGATCGGACTGCAATGTTGCAGCCTGGCACATTTTTCTGATCGTGCGTTCTCTGTCAAATGGAACCGCTTGGTGAAATCCCATCAAGCAGCCGGAGAGGCTCACCGCGGGCTGTTCGAAACGAAAGCCCCAGTATGCAAGCAAAGTCGCAACTGAATTCTTCTGGACGTTCCGCAGCGAGGTCCATCACATCATCAACGTATCTGATACCCGGCATCCTCCTTCTTAGATATGTCTCCACATGCGTCAACGCTGCAAACCCTCAACAAAGTCACAGAAGCGAGACAGAGCGAAGTTAGATGGCTGGACCGGCAGATAGGTAACAGCATACATAAAGGCATATTTAAATGTACAAAGAGAGATATAGGCATATAGATATAAAAACAGATATGGTTACAGATGCAGATAAAGACATGGGTAAAAATATAGATGTCGGTAGAGGAATAGGCATAGATATCGATACCGATACAGATACAGATGCAAATATAGGTATAGATAAAGATATAGATATACAGATACATATGGGTATGAAGACCAAATATAAATATAAATACAGATATGGATATAGATATAGATACAGAAATAGAAGAAAACTTCAGGTATAAAATAAATATAGACAGAAATGCAATACAGCTCGAGATACAGATGCAGATATAGATATGCATACAGATATAAATATAGGTATACGTATAGGTATAGGTATAGCTATAGATACAAGCTTAGATAAAGGTTTGGTCAGATAAAGGTAAGATACAGATATAGATACAGATACAGATATAAATATATAAATAGATATGGATATGGGTAAGGATATGAATACAAACCTCAATAAAAAAACACACATACATAAAGATATAAATATGGATATACTTATGTGTATATATATATACAGATGTAGATATGGATATAGGTATAGGTACAGATATAGGTACAGGTTTAGGTATAGACAAAGATATAGCTGCATATGCAGCTACAGATAGACACATAAGTATGGATAAAGATATAGGTACCGATATAGATAAAGGCATAGATATAGCTCTAGGTATGGGTATACAGTGTGTATATGTGTGTATGTATATATATATATATATATATATGCATACATAGAGTTGTATATGACCCTATTGATATATGCACATCTGCATATATACAACTATCTGCAAATACACACAGAGCCCTGTATCTATGTTGTTTGTATGTAGGCTGGACCTCACAAAAGACAAGTGGCCTGCACACCAGTCCGAAAAGAGCTGGGTTCCGCTAGCCGCTTGTGAAAGGCGCCCGGAAGAGCGGTAGCCGCCTGCCGTTCAATGGTGACGATGCGTCGCATTCACCAAGTCCTCAGCTGTTTTGGGGGTTTCGGGTTGAGGGTTTAAAAGTTGAAGAGTTTGGGGTTTGGTTTAGGGTTTGGGGCTTAAGGCTTAGGGTTGGGGGTTTAGGGCTGAGGGCGCCAAATTCTGGCAGAATCGGCCTGAACAGAGCCCCCCCCAAACGTCTACCGCTTTAGACACCCCACCCCCCCACCTCTGGGCTCTCCAAACGCCACCCGGTCTGTGTGGATTAGAGCCGTAAGGCTACGGGCTTCTGAGAATAACACAATCCTACCACACCGTCTGAATCCCTTCGAAGTCTACGGAGCCTGACAAAAGGCGATCTAAGCCGAATGAAACCCTTCAAGCGCGTCTTATATGCGCAACACAGGGCCTTGAATCATTTGAACGAGCTTTCGGGGTATACTACACTTTATACGAATGCTACTGACCAGGCTAGAAGCACCGCTAGAGTTGGGTTAGCCAAACTAAGGGCACCACAAATCGAATGCACAGGCTAAGTCCACTGGCCCCGAACCCCCTTGATCCTTAGCAACTTGGCCTAATAGGGTTTAGGGTTTAGGGTTAATCGAAATCTTGAACTCAAAACTCCCGGAGCATTGGCCCAAATTAGAGACCAAGAAGTTGAGACATGGAAACCAAGGTTGATGAAAACCCGCTGAATAGTAACCCCCCCCCCCAAAAAAAAAAACCTTGGAACCTCGTATTCAAGCCCTCAACCCGAAGCCCTCAGCACGTAGAAGAAGGCTGTTAGTGAACCAGGGGTCTACATGATGTGTCATGGCGATCCTTCCTTACGAGGCTTAGGGTTTGCAGTTTGGGGTTTAGGGTTTAGGGTTTAGGGTTTGAAGTTTGGGGTTTAGGGTTTACGGTCTAGGGTTTGGGGCTAGCGAGTCCCCAGACCCCAAACCCGAAGACCACTGCCTTTAACCAAACCAGACTAGTAGACCCTGAACCCTCAACCTCAAAGCATCGAGCCTCAAAGCAATGTTAATGTCTTGTTACCCAACTGCATCCGGGCTGCCTTGTTGTCCCAGGTCCTTAGTCAAGCTCGACAATACGTGGTTTACGACTTGCAGGGTTGAGAGCTGAGGGTCTGTATGTGCTGCGGGGTTTTGTGCATAGGTTTCAGAGGCTGGGGTTTAGGGTGCAGGGATTCAGCATTGAGGGTATAGGCTGTAGGAGTGCGTCTTTGGATTTTCAGAGGAAAGGTGTAGGGGGCTCCAAACCCAACAAGCCGTACACTCCTAGAACCCCTGCAAAACCCCAAAAAAACCTGCAAAAACCCTCGGACCCTGAACAAGGTCCTGGGCTCCTGAAACCCCACGAAAGAACTGAAGGTCTACAAGACAAAAGCTGAAGGGTTTTTTTTAACCCTAAGCCCTAAACCCTAAACCCTAAACCGATTTAGGGTTTAGGGCTTTGATCAGTGTATCCCGCTCCAGCATGTAATGGGGGGGGCTTAGTGGCTAGAGGAGGAATAGTAGAAGGAGCATTAAAGTTGGAGCAGGGTTTTGATGTACATGATACGAAAAATACAACAGGAGTTCTAAGGAAAAGTAGTGAGAATTACTCAGGCTTCTTCTTCACCCTTTCCAAAATGTACCCTAGGGTCACTTAAGCCCCATATCTCAAACTCTGTCCAGCATTCCTGAACCATAAACCCATGTACCCCAAACCCAAAGAATTAAACTTAAGCCCCTAAACCCTAAACCCATGTAATACCCCAAACCCGAAGCCCAAACCCCTCTCAAGACGTGCCCCAGTGTCAGAGTCTTAAGGTAGTGCACGATGTCCACGCGCGTCTGGAAGTCATCGATGCCGCGGAAGTTCATCTGTCGGGCGGCTTCTGCTGGGTTCTTTGAAGTAGCTCCGGGTTTAGGGCATGGGCGTTGAAGTAACACAACAGGGAGGGATGTCCAGGAAATAAGATACGTTCCCGATGAAGGCAACTCAATTAATTAGGTAGTTCTCTGAATTAGGGTCCCTTTTTAGGTCCCCAATGTAGTACGGCAGCCTTATAAAAAGGGACCCTAAAAGGGACCCTAATTTAGAGAACGACTCAATTGTGAGTAAGAGAGGCCTCTGCGGGTGCTCGCTATAAGTCCCTTTCATTTGCTCAGAGACCCCTTGGATTTGCACTAAAACCAAGATGTAAGCTACTTGTTCAGCAGAACGCCAGTCGGGTGCAGGCTTAAGATAGCTTTCAAGTGTAGGGCTTAGTTAGGCTTCGGGGTTTGGGGTTGGTTTCCTGCGTTGAAGCGCTTAGGCCTTGGGGGAGCTTAAGGGTTGCCTAGGTAGAGTGAGGTCCCCTAAATGTCAGGTTAGGGCTTGCAAAGCCAGTGATACGGCGTGCTTTGGACCCTAAACCCTGAATTCGCGCACTGTAAACCCAAGCCCGCGAAACCCTAAAACAAAGAATAAAGCCCTAAACCCCTGAAGCTTTGGGGATTCAAGAGAAGAAAGGCGGCCTGAACATTCACCCCCGTGGTCTGGCGCGGGTTCCTCGGTTGAGAGCTTGGGGTTTTTGGATTTGGGGTTTCGGGGTTTAGGGCTTCGAGTTTAGAGTTTGGGAGCTTAGGGCTTCGGGTTTAAGAACTCAGGCTGTGCCCTTCAAGTTTGCTTAGGGTGTAGGGTTATTAGGGTTTAAGGTTTAGGTTTCTTGCTGAATCTGCTTGAGTCTGAAGGGTTTGGGGTTTGGGGTCTAGGGCTTGGGCT